ATTACCGCGTAGCAAAATTCCATAATACATTACGCTATACAAGTAACTAAAATAAACTGAACTAGCTGTCTCAATATTTAAATTTTTTTTAAATTATTGGTGAGACTTCTAATAACTTCTTAGAGCGTATGGTGCAGGACTAAGTCTATCTGTTAATTTAGAAATATTAAGGGAGCCCCATTGAAGCTTCGCGTCAATAGTAACGCAAAAAAAATTACCTCGAATAAGAATCAAAATACATATTCGTTGTCACCCCTGAAGACTAAGATGGAATGCGTCGATTCCGGTAAAACTTGTCTCCGGTTCTCTACACTCACCGTACGAAACACGTGGTCCTTCCCCGGTCGAGCCGACACATTCGTGCTACAACCATAATATTATAGCTGCAGTATGCACGTAGTGTGGCAGCGTGACACGTCGTGTAAGTTGTCGCGTACTGAAGAAAAAAGTCCCATGCTGGGTAGCAATAGGACGTTTATGAACAGTTAACTACTGTTGGCGTTTGTCGTGTAAATGAATCATTATTAAAACCAGCTTTTATATCTTCCTTTAGTAGAGGCTCACTCTCCAACACATATTCTTGTGAGACAGTCGACCCATTTTACACAATTTTTCTGGTTGGCATACCAATCCTTAAATATATTTAACAATTGAACTGGTAGTCCCCCGTCCTCCAGCTTTGCTCATAATATGTTATAATACACTAATTCAAACGTCGTTGACAGGTCTAGGAAACAACCTTACAACTTACCATTGCACTCTAAGTAGATAGTCTAGACCGAAACCAAAATTGTTTGTCACCGTCCAGCACCTTAGCAATTGTCGTTGCCAATGAGATTGAACAATAATTTTTCTTGTCCGAGACGTCACCCATTCTATTCTTCAGAATGGGCACCACAATTGTTTTTAACATTTCTTGTGGTAAATAAGAATGTCTGAAATACATTGTGCAAAATAGCCACAACCACGAATAGGATGCTTAAGATGCTCAACGCTAATGCCCTCATGCCCAGGAGACTTGCCACCAGTCATATTTTAAGTGCATTTCGCACTTGTTTTGCTGTAACATGCACTAATTTATTTTCTCCCTGACACAAAGGCTTGTTAAAAGTAGGAACCGAGGCGCCCAGTGGTGAGTTGACTTTAAAATGAACTCTAAACATTTCAGCAATACGAGCAGGCTCACTCTCCCCCTCAACACTTGTTGGTAAACCAGACTTAACATCAAGTTTTGTTGTTGCCTTCGAGAAACGATCAAAATTTTTAGCAGATCTATGTTTGGCCAAAGCGTCCATTTTAAATTGGTCTTGATTTTGTTGGCACCATTTTAGTCGACTTTTGAATATTTTACGTGATGTTTACATCTGCTCATAGATTCTACTATACTAGACTTAGGCCGATTATTTAGCAACCTCACTTGATGGATAAGCCTGGACCGCTTGTGAACATCACAAACATACTTGTTCCACCCACATAAATGCCTGTTATACGTCGAAAAAAACGCATCTGCATTTTGATTCTTACTCGAGGATAGATGTAGATGTCTTCGTGCATACAAGTACCACCGGGTGGACTGTGTGCTCGTTTATCATCCTTATTCTATAAAAAAGAGGTGTTGTCACCCCTTAGAGTTAAAATGCATTGGCTAAGCCTGTAGGTAATTATTACTTCTCTGATACACCGTTGTTCGGTAGCACAGCAGCACTAGGTTCTAGTGATAAGTGGGGGTGGTGATTACTAACCAAAATGGACTCACATATTGAAAACAGTCCTGCCCACTTCGTAAGTGAACTATAATTAACAAAAAACACGTATTGATATTACATACCAAATCTCTCTGTAAAAGTACACAGTTTCTGTGTTTGGTATCAAAAATAAAATGTTTTGGCCTAGAGTGTCGACGTGGCATTAAATGCAGCACTATCAATTTATCGCATTATAACTAGTGCCACGTCTGGTCGAAATTCGCATTCAATTGGTTAAAGCGTTTTATATGGATAAATCATGGTAAATGTTCTTTTTAAAGAGTAAGAATGATAAACAAGCACACAGTGTACCTCATGACTATTGGATGCTATGACCCATAGACGTCTACATTTATCCTTGATCAAGAATCAAAACCCAGATTCGTTATCAACCCTGAGGACTAAGATGAAATGCCTCGTTTCCAGTAAAAAAGGGTCTCCTGATCTCCACACTCACCATACGAAACACAGCAGTATTAAGCTGCTATTTTACGTCGGTATTTTGTGAGAGCGTGGTGTAATGTGCGAAAGGTGTTAAATGAAAGGGACGTGTTACTTATTCTAGATCTTTAATTATACAACCTCCTTAACAGCTACAATTTAAATTAATATATACTGTCGTGGGGGCTGCACTAACGTTATAAGGTGAACGCGTGGTCCTTCCCCGGCCAAGCCGACCAATTCGTGTTACAACCATAAAATAGCTTCATATTACAGCATATATAAAACACTAAAATACCTAGGTGCCACTAACACAGCAGTATGTTTACTTATATTTACTTCTTTTAATTATTTTATTATAGTTTATAGGATTTCAAAGGGCTAATGATAAAACAGTTCTCCTTGATAGATTGCCTCCTGGAGGGGGGGGGGGTTTGCATTTGCTCATATTCTTTTTCAATTTCCGTTTGTCGCCTCTTACAGTACCCACGAGAAACAAACAATACGATTCACATATAATTTGTTTTATTCATATCTGTGGCGTAGTCCCTATCCAGTGATATAAATTTCATTCCAATTTAACAATTTTTGGATAGTGATAATTTTGGATTACATTATTTTAAGTAAAAAAAAATCAATACTTTTTAACAAGCATTTTACTTTTATTAGAGCAACGCGTACTAAACTTACTTACTTACCTACTACTTAGGCACTGATTTACCAGGGTTCACGTTTTATTAAAATTGTGATAAGCAGCGAGAAAGCATGAAATAGTGTGTAATACCCATTTAAATTATTTAGAAAATATCTTTTTGCTCCGATGTGAGGCGAAATATACGTGATACGTTATAAACGCATGTTGTCTCTTGTTGATCTGGTATAGATCCCATATTTATGTGGGAGTTATAAAAAAAGAAGTGCTCATTGTGTTAACTGCATATTATGCCGTAAAAGGTGGTTAATTGGATATTAGGTTTGTGATTTAGATAATTTATGACTTCTTTTACAATGTCCATTTAAACCAATATTATTTGACTACAAGTGATCCAAGTTGCTTGCTGCTCGCTGGAATCTGTCTATTTGCCAAAGAATATGATGGGGGGCGGCGCCAGGTGCAGCAGCGAGCTTTTGCCGGCGCCAGTGCAGTTGCGGTACCTGAGCGTGTGCAGGTGCAGCGTGGCCACGTCCACGCCGTCCACAAGCACGCGGCTAGTGGCGGGCGGCGCCAAGCGCAGCAGTGAGCTCTTGCCGGCGCCGGTGTAGTTGCGGTACATGAGCGCGTGCAGGTGCAGCGTGGCCACGTCCACGCAGTCCACAAGCACGCGGATGGCGGCGGGCGGTGCCAGGCGCAGCAGCGAGCTTTTGCCGACGCCAGTGCAGCTGCGGTACCTAAGCGCGTGCAGGCGCAGCAGCGCGCGCAGCAGCGAGCTTTTGCCGGCGCCGGTGCGGCCCGCCACCGCCAGCCGCTCGCCCGGCCGGCACGCGAACGTCACGACACACAGGGCCGCCGTGCCGCGCGACCTGCTACGCACGCTTTTAAAAGTAGACATATTTAAATTATATATTTGATAGCAGCGACTTTGTAGAGTACAAAGTATTTGTATAATGCAATAGATAGTTACTTATGACAAAGGCATGGGTTTTGTCCATTTGTTTAAAAAATATAATTTTTATCATAGTCATTAGAGCTATAAATAAAAAGGACAGAGTAGATAAAAATTTTGATTTGTTATCCTTTTTTCTGGAAGAGGCAACAGAGAAAAATAAATCCAGAGATGGGCAACAGTATCTTAATAATAACAATTTAAAAAACAAAAAATGCGGTTGCAAACCTACCTGCCAAGCGTGACACATACAGTAAGCAACCACCTCAGCCTATGGGGAAGGCCCATGTTCTGCGGTAAACTCTTGACAAGCTGTGACGGTGACGGTATCCTTTTTAAGACACATCATTATACATGAGAGTCAATTTTCCAATCACTACAGAGACTAAAAAGGTTGAAAGGATATCGGAACATAATCCGTGATAGCTTTTAGCTCCAAACGTGTAAAAGTTTTAATAGACAATACCGTGGAGCTTCGCTAATAGCGGATTAACCGCGACAGCTGACGCGGCGGGATCACGCCACGTTGCATTCACTAGCGAATTTCAAATTTTCGTTTGTAAAGCTTTATACTTACAAACTTTAAATGAAGTAATGGATCCACACAATAGCTTATTATATTTACACTAATACCACATATTAAATTAAACTAATTTATATCCAAATACTAATACGCTTCTCAATTTTAACATATCGTTATGTCTCGTGTTGTCACAGTCACTTTGACTTAAAGTGATAGTCAAAGCCGTTACTTGATTTGATTGCTTTTAATTTGTAATTTTAATTGCAAGCCAAGCACAAGCATATTTCATTCTGCGTGGATTGAACTAAGAAATTAATATTTAAAAGTTGAAGGTAGCCTTCGTTAACTATGACATCAGGAGCTCAAACAACTCAGCCGCCCCCGTTGTCATGGGTGTAGTAAAGCGCCCGAAACGTCAGGATTAAAAAAAAATATTACAATCAAAATACTAAAATTATCACTACTAAAATTATATTAGTTAATTCTGCATGGATGACTTTATCACCATCTAGCAGTTGCCATGACACTTGACTTGACGTCATTAATAATCAGTACAGTAATGTAGTCGAATAATTTGCTAGCATCTGTCTATCAATGCGATAACAATTGAGATGTCTTTAAGGCAAGGGTGAATAGGCTTTTGTTAAGCTAAATCAATGCGTATTACCATCTTAGACTGCTCACCACTTACTATCAGGTGGAATAGTAGTCAAGTACTGGCTTATGGTAGTAAAAATGAACAGAAATGGAAATATAAAAACGGAAAGTGAATAACTTCTGAATAACATACTGTCTTAGATTTAAAAGTTATTCCTAAATGATTGAATCGATATCCTTTCCAACTTGTTGATTGTAATCAGAAATGGCAATTTGTGAAACACATCTAATGCCAAGCATCTTGTAAACTTCGAATATATACGAATAAAAGTCATAAATGCGACTTATATTATTCTGACGCATGGATATAGTAAATTATGTATATTTTTAATTTTATTTTCCGCGGTCAATACAATTCCCTTGCCTAGCATGGACAGGAGAGATTTTATCCACGGGGAAGGGATAAAATGTTTATTCTATTGCTCAGTCTTATCCAACCTTCGAGCATGGGCACACTGGTAAAAATAATATTCACAGTACATAAAATGGGAGATAAACTTATCCCCGCAATTATTGTCATTATGAAAAATAACAAAATACTTCAACATTGATGTCTACTCTAATAAAGTCTTTAATTTTTATGTTTATACATTATTTCAACAGTTTAATGTTTTCCTTTTTCGATTAACAAATAAAATTAACGTTTTCTGTTCTTGCCATTGATTGTTAATATATTAAAATGAGTGACAAAAAGTAAGTATTATCACATAAAATGTTGAAAAGTAACAATTGTATTATAAAAGCGAAATGTAATCTTAACTAGTTATCTGTAAAAATCTTTGTTTACAAATATTTCATACTATAAATAGTACGAAATATTTGTAAACAAAGATTTTTATATTTTATAACCATTCCTCTACATTTAGCGTCAATTAGATTGTGTTCAGCTATAGTAAATATACATTTGACCTTATCTTTCAGATTATAGACCAAAGGCTCAAAGAGTGTAATAATCTTTTGTGTGAGCAAAATCAATTGCTTCGTACACAGAATGCCCACCTAGGTAATAGCTATAAATTCAAAAGGATGAAAAGGTCATCATACAAATAAATTTTAATATATGTATGTATTTGTTAATCATCTTTTTTTTTCGGGTAAGCCAACAGCCTGGTCTGATCCACAGAAATGATGAGAGGATGGCTTTCTTCACTTGTTTTTTTTTTTTTTTTTATAGGATAGGGTGACAAACGAGCACACAGTCCACCTGATGGTAAGTAGTTGCTGCGGCCCATAGACATCTACATCTATCTTCCATTACAAATCAAAATGCAGATGCGTTGTCACCCGTGAGGACTGAGATGGAATGCCTCATTTCCAGTAAAAAGGGTCTCCGGTTCTCTACACTCACCATACGAAATACAGCAGCATTATGCTACTATTTCACGCTGGTATTCTGTGAGAGCGTGGTCCTTCCCCGGTCGAGCCGACCCATTCGTGCTACAACTATACTACTAATATAATTGCAGCATGGCTCTACCACGTATAGTTACATCTGAGCTGTCCATTTCCATTGGTTGTTCCATTGGAATTCTGCGATATACAAATTAAATTAATGTTTAGTAAACAAACATTCCGATAGTAAATATGCGTGTGACGATATACTCATATTTAATGTTGATATATATAGAAAACACAACTTAAATGTAGCATGATATTGTAAAGTGTTTAATTATAATATAGGTATACAACATGTAACAAAAACCCTGTGGTTCCCGTTAACTGCGTTATCAGAATCAGTATCCAAGCGTATAGAAATAATTTTTTTTTTCAAAAAAAAATTTAAAAAATTAATTTTAATGCAAAAACAATTATTTGCCAATTGGAAAATGTCTATAGTTATAGCACAATTGTAAAGGGGTGGACTGAAATCTGAAATTTTGTAGGATCTACAACCGGGATGACAATAGTCTCATGGGACCACCGTTAAGACTTGTGGCACAAATTTCTAGCCCAAGCACTACGCTTATTTCTAGGGGAATGAGGAATTTTAGTCGTGAATATAATACGTATATTCTTTATGTAAAAAAACTTTAGTTAAGATTTTGAAAAACTCTAGAACTTGTTTGTCGTTAACAGTTGAACATTTATTGTGGACCACCCTTTTCTTGTACTGAAACCCAGTCGGGAAAGGTGTGGAAAATATATCGACATGGGCAGTCAATAGCCCTAAGAAGATGTGACAGAATATGCTTTGCTAGGAAACCTCTAGCTTCATTTTGCCTTGTTTGTTATATGCCCAGAAATCTACTTCGGTATAAATCTAGAAATAAAATGCAAAAATTTGACGCACTGAAACCAGTTGTACTTGCTACATAAGAGGCTAATTACGGTATATTGTTACTCAAATTCTAATGATGGCCCCAATAACTTAGGTCAGGTATTTGTTGAATGTTGTTTGAGCAAAAGCTATTCCATGGTCTTGACTTGTACCTCTCTGGTAATCTGCCAAGAGATTGATAGATGTGAATACCTAAAAATATTAAAATAAGTTAGTTATACGATACGTTTTTGCACAAGGTGGTTGTAATAGATCCTAACTTTTATATGTACTATATAGTCCAGTCCATCGTCATAATTAATAGGCTTTAAAGCCTCATGAATTTCTTCACAAATACAAAACACAATTTTTATGCATCCGAAACCGACGTAGAAATTGGCTGTCGGGGAATTCACGAATCGATCGCCGATGTAATTTTCTTTCGTGTTTTTCAATTTCTGATGTAAAAATGGAGTTACAATAGGCTCAAGGCATCTTTTTTAGTATTATAGTGGTTTGTAGATAAACTTAAACACAGATAAACTTATTAACTATGAAAAATTGTTCATTTCAAATGTCAAAAAAAGGATAATTTTTTTTTTCTTTCATTTGGCCCCATGCTATTGGACGGGGGATGTATGTCTACTCGTTATGTCAAACGGGGATATACTTTTTCTATCCCCTGTTGCTGGCATGGTACAAGATAATTTTATCTCTCGCTCGCCATGCTGGTTCGTCTGTTGTCGTCTGCGTGGACTATGGGTCCAGCAGGTCTCGCGCCTCGGGACATTCCCCTTTGTCCGGATTTTCCTCACGGCCCACTACTATGAGCCGGTCCGCGGAGCCGTAAAAACGGCTTTCTGGTTTAGCAGTGGTTTTCCGTAGTCGGTTAAATTTACAGAAAAAAGTTAGTTATCTAATAAGTCAGAGTTAGTATATCTGTGACACTGTGGGTTCTTACTCGACAGTTCAACATCTCACACGCGATAAAGGTGAAAATTTATTTATTTATTATTCACAAAATGTATTACTAATTCATTTTTATCATTTATTGAGACCGAGATAATAGAAAATAATGTATACATACATACTGTATACACACCCTATAGATGTATATGTTTGTCTCTTTTTAGTGTCGCTTTTTCGTTTCATCGAGTTTTAAAACATAACGATTATAATTTTTCTTAATTTCCACTGTTCAGGCCTCCCAAAGAACTCTGAGCTTCATTGCAGTTTTAAGAAGTTTATGGTGCAATTAATCCGCCCTGCTGCTCCAGTGTGTGTTTACGGGCTTTATCTCTTATACATATCGATTCATCACGATATTTTCGTTTATCAACGATCACGTTGTGTCAACTTAACCGAGAAGGACCACACTCGTACAGAATAACAATGTAAAATAGCAGCTTAATGCTATTGTTTTTCCTATGGTGAATGATGAAAACCGAATCGAAGATTTTTACGTGGTCCCTTGCCATACTGCAGCTGTATTTGGTTATAGCACGAATG